GTGGTTTTTTTTTTTTTTTTTTTTTTTTTTTTTTTTTTTTTTTTGTAGTATGCTGACCACATTTAAGGGATGGAAGCCATAAGGGCAGCATCTCTACGTGGACACTGCTTCCTTCGCAGTGTGGGCTGAGTGTTTATCTTTGGAATGGGGTAATTTATTCTTTCTTTATTTCAGGGCTGTTATGCACTGCATCCAATCATGCAGAGCTGTTTAAGGGCATTCTGTGCACCCTTAGGTGTAATAAATCAGCTGATCTAATTTTTCAGCTCAATGGGGTTTAAGGATCAACGGAGTTTGTCTGGTCAGTGGTGTAAGCACTGTGAGATCTGCTGAGCAGATAACGGAACATCGCGAGCCCCATGTCTGTGCACTAGTTTGTATGCAGGCAGGTTTTTGATGGCTGTGGGAAGCTCACACAGGGATCGAATGGGTTGCAGGGGGCTTACCTCGCTCCATGGGGTCTATTCTCCCAGCCCAATGCGCTACACAGCTGGTGATAGAGTGAGGTGCATTGACCAGGACCTGAAGAACAGTCCCAGATGGCAGTGGCCATTTGCTTCATCCTCATTGAGCATAATGTGGTCTGCACCACTCGAGCATAGGGATAACAGGTATTTGTTCCTATTTTGTCTGGTTCTCTCCCATATCTCCTTTACGAATTTGTCAGTGGTAATGGATCCCAAGGCATCGTTCTCAGAGCATGTTGTGACTGACCACCTTGGGGTCCTACAGTCCTTTCTGTTTGAACAACAGATCTGGCTTTGTCTTTATAGAAAGCCAAGGATTGTCCTCTTCTGGACCGCTGTACTCAGCATCACCCCAGCATGATGAAGTGAAGCCCCTGGTCTGCTGAACAGTGGGACTGGCCCAGAGAGGCTCTGATGGATGTGGATTATCCCAGCCGGAGTACCTGGTACCATTGGTGGTGATCTCGTCCAACTGCCACACAATGAACAGGAACATCCACAGCCAGATCAGGCTTCCCAGAGGCTTCCCAGAGGCTGGCTCACTGACTGACCTTGGAAGGGACAGGGTATCCATCACATGTCTGGGTAACCTGTTCCGCTGTGTCACCACCCTCACTGTACAAGATTTTCTTTATATCTAGGCTAAATCTTTCCTTGTTCTTCCCTTCAGGTGTTGAAAGGCTGTTACCAGATCACCTCGGAGCCTTCACTTCTGCAGGCTGAACAGCTCCAGCTCTCTCTCTTTACAGGAAAGGCGTTCCATCCCTCAGTTCATATTTGTGGCTGTTCTCTGGATGTTCTCCAACAGCTCCACGTCTGTCCTGCGCTGCGGACATCCACATCCAGACACAGCACTTCCAGGTGAGGCCTCACAGCGCAGAGCAGAGGGGCAGGACCAGCTCCCTTCGCCTGCTGACCGCGCATCTTTGGATGGAGCCCAGCGTACGGTTGGCTTTCTGGGCCAGGAAGGTACATTGCTGAGTGCCACTACTCAGCCTGTTGAGGTCCCTCTGGATGGCGTTGTCCCTCTGCTGTGTCACTGCACCCCACAGCTCGGTGTCATTAGGGTGCACTCAGCCCCACTGTCAATGTCACTGATGAAGGGGCAATCCCAGGTGTTTGTACAAACTCAGCAAAGAACACCTTGAGAGCAGCCCCACAGAAAAGGACTTGCAGCTCCCAGTGGATGAGCTGGGATC